AATACGCAATAAAATTTTTACTGCTTAAATTTGCATGATTTTCATAAAATGTCTTTGATTCTTTAAATGGTTGATAATTAGGCCGATCAAATGATGCTTTTAATATTAAAAATTTTAATTTATTTAATATAGAAAATTTAGCCTTTGTTCTCGTTTTTAATAGTTGTGTCAAGATTGAGTGCCAAGTCGATTTTTCGAGTCGAGCCGATACGGCGACTCAGCTTATAAATAAATCTAACCGTATCATAAAATAGCTGTACATAAAATATTGAATTTTTTTGATTAGGGCAGTAGTTGTTATGGCATTATAAAAATTGAATTGATAAACTTGAAAATCATGTTCTAAAAATCGGTACGCAAATTATCGACCGTCACCTAAAATCGGTGAATAAGGATTATTAAGCTCAATATGCGTCAGCTAAAACCAAAACAAGGATACTAATTCTAGTTACTCCATTCAAAGTAATTTCAAGTAATGTCACAATTTCTGTTAATTATTTTTTAACATTTTGTTCTGTTAACATTTTGTTTTGATTGAAATTGAAAATTCTCTAAACACGTAAACGTGAGCTACTCCTTCTTGTTTATATAACACCAATTTTTTCTGTTTCTTTTTTGTATATTTATGGTTTCCTTAAATGTCATATTAATCAATTTACGTAAATTACTCACTTCTATTGTACAAATATTTATTTTTTAGATATTTTTTTTAATTTCATTAAAATTCAAAATTTTTATTTATTTGGACGACCAAACCTCACACATCACGCAAATATTTTGAATACATGGCATTTTATGTTTTGTGTCACCATTTTTTTTTTTATACCTGTATATATGTTCAAGTTAAATTGCACAGTTCAAGCGTATATAATAAAAGCGTATGTAATCAAAATATAAATAAAAAATTTTTACTAATTGAGTTTTGAAAATATTCTAAAAAAAAATATTTTTTGCTCAAATTTATTTTATTTTTTAAATAAATAAAAGTGCCACACATGATAAATAAAAATTTGGAGCACATAATGATGTTTGATGGATTTTGATTAAATGTTAACAAAGAGTTTAAAAATGAAAAACAAAATTTCCCGCCTATGCGTGAATAATATTTTGGACACGTTTCTAAGCTTCTCTGTATGATTTCAAAATTAAATCGAAGTAGAAAAACGAATATCCAGCTTTCGGAATTAGTTTCCAGCCCACGCGAATCCCGCTAAAATTCGCAGTGAGAGTGTGTGATCTTCGGAAATAACTGACTTTGTATACCAGGGAGAGAAGAAAATTATCTCTATGGTATGAGTAAGTAGTTTGCTTGGGCTGGTAAAATATTGGTGCCAATAGAAACCCAGTTGCCGACAGGGTTAATTGAATTTTATTCGGAAGTTACTAATTTTGACCTTGTTCCACACATATAAATGTAAATGATACAAAAGTTTCTATTTCAAAACCGATTCAGTATAACACTTTGCCATTTTATATAACATTTTATAAATATTTAAATATACTATTAAAATAAACAATAAAATTTAATTTTGCCAATATTTTAATGTGATAATTTTTTGTGATGACTCAATCATGCAATTTTCTCTTTACAGTACATAATGTAATAAAATTACTTTGCGTTTTTTTGTGTTTTATAACAGTTTATATTGGGTAGTTTATATTGGTGAGAAAAACCTTTCAATTAATTTATTATATAAAAGCATATATGTTTCGTGTACGACAACATTTACACAATCACACATCAAAAACATTGCATGAATTCCCTTCCGAGAATTAAAGACTTGTATAGAAGAAATTAAACAAAAAATTATATATTTTTACCTTTTACATGTATGTACGTATGTAATATAATAAATACTATAATGTAGCATTACAATATTATTATATTTTGCACGATTTCAGCGTTGTATACCTAAAATTCTGAACTATTTGTTAATCGCATTTCATTAGCGATACTAAAGCGGGCATACATTCTAATGGTTGTTTCTTTAAATGCAACAGCATAATATTGTATGCATCAAACAGTATGATTGTATCTAATAAAGTAAAAAAGTATTTTATAATTTTCTAGTTGAGACACTTATATTATCATTAAAGAAAAATTACGGTGCTGACAAGCATGCAGTTTTTAGTTTTTCAACTGTTTGATTGCTTATTTATATTCCATATGTTTAGATACTCGTATATTTAAGCGTACACACATGCCACTGTATGGTCACAAACAATTAAGCAATCAAACAGATTGTAATTTTTTTTATCAAACTGATTGTAATTTAGTAATTTCAGTTACTTTTATGCACAATTAATTTCCAATCAAACTGTTATTGGAAAACTAAACATTGCATGTCTGTCAGAGCCCCCCCCCCCCCCCTCTAGGCTCTAGTGGATCTGCTATTCTGCTTTAATATCGTTCTGTATTTTTACGGTTTTCAAAACCTGATTTATTTTATTTTAAAAATACATCCAAAAATAATTAAACAAAAAAAGTGAAAAAATTAAAAATTTTCCTTTTTTTTTTGTAGATGAATGAAATGTGAAAGAGAAATTTTATCCTTATGATAAAAACAAAGGGAAAATAGGGGACAAAATAAAATCTAATTGCATTTTAAAACTTAATTATTTTCATCAAATTTACACAATATTTGAATCATTCTTTTCTCACCCAACAGATTTACATTTTAACATTTGAAGGAACGGAGCCTATTAGCAATAATGAAAAAGAGGAGAATAAGAAGAAGAGCAAAAATTACTTTGATCCTTATATTATTCACGTTAGGGAAAAAATTTTTGTGTCCTTTTCATGTCTAATTTGAAATTTTTTTTTAAATTAAAATATAAAATAAAAACGAAGTTCGGCTTCAACAGAGAATGACAGTGTAATTAGGATTTTTATTTTTATATTTTTTATGTGTATGTCTTCACGTTAAACAAAACTTTTCAATTAGCTTTCGTAATCTTTACATTCAATTTTCTAAATTTCAGAGCATTTTAAAGGGATTTTATTTAATTTTTTTGATTTTTGTTGGCTAATAATAAGTAAATGGCGAGTTCGTCAATTTTTGGGGGGGGGGCCTTATGTAATTCTATAGTAAAAGAATGGTTTTTAAGTAAAAAATTAATTGTTAATTTAAAATCAGAGTTATATAGCAATTCTATTCTCATTTATAAATTGAGAAAAATATTTCTTGCTGCCTTTGTTTTTGTTATAGAAATTTTCTTATGAAAATGGAGGCAGTAATGGCTGAATAATTCTCTTAAAATTAATTCTTTCAACTGGCACCATAATTGAAATTATGGAGTGTAATAGACACAATACACTCGTATCATAATAGTAGCCGGAGGAAAAAGACAAGATTAATTTATATTTAATTTTTTTTATTCCTTGATTGATTTTAATTTTATTATTCTTATATTTAAAATACAAGCATAATTAGAATTAAAGAAATATTTTCGTCTTTATTAAGGAATATTGAATTTTAATTGAATAAAATGAAGATGATTTAGTCACACTAAGTCATACTGTAAGTATAAGATTTTAAGAAAATTAAAAATTCATTTAATTTTGCAATTTAAAATTAAAAATTACAATATTATTTTTAGTTTTAAAATGAAAAATTTGTCATTAATGTTGTTAGCATTTTTCTTTTAATTTTTCTTATATTTTGCATTAATAAAATTGCAGAATATGAAACAATTGTTTAATTTGATTTTGAAAGAAATTTCATTTAAATACTTAAGGAAATTTCCGATTTTTCATAATTAAAATGTAATTTATTTTATCCTTGCTTGAAGGAACGATTTTCTTACTTTGCTTGATTGAAAATTATGACAAAATAATTTTTAAATTGCATATTCAAATAGACATTTTCACACTTAGTTTCAAGAAATTCAAATTTTTTAACGTTTATCAGCAGTTAACGTCTATAAGAAGAGAAAAATTTGTTCCTAACATGAAAATATTATAAATACTAATATGTTCCATAATACTGGAAAATGTCAGTCCAAAAAGTTTCATTTGAGCTGACATATTGTGTTGATTGTTTCAATTAAACTACAATTAACAATTTACATTTTTGTATAAAAATACTTAATTTTCCCAATTTTTGACACAAACCAACCCTCTTGTAATATTTTAAATTACCATTTTCAAACGTCTCAATCTATCTTAACTGAATCTTCTATCTTAACTGAATTACACCGTACACCTTGACAATCTCTAGAAAAACGATTATTTTTGAAATACTTGGCATTATCCTTCATAATTGCATAGAACTTACCAGAACCCGTTTTCCGAATCGGTACAATTACAGCCGCGTCCGTCCTTGCCACTATTTGTGAAAATTTAGTAAAGTTAGCTTTATTCGTTTTTGAGTTACCATGAGATCGCACGGACGGACGAACATGTCTTAGTCAATGCAGAATTTTACAATAAGCAAGAATCTAAAGATATGTCCACACCGCTTACGACTCCTTAAAGAGATTACAAATTCCGTATCAAAGTTAATACACCCTTTACAAAGGTGCAGGGTATAAAAAAAAACATTAAAAACAAATTTTCAAACTTTTTAACTCAAAAATTTTTTTAATTTAGGTTACATTTCGGTTTAATGTAAAATTTATGTGCCTTAAAAATGCATTTAAAATACAAATTGGGTTCAATGCAATGTAATAAAATCCAAAAAATACACAAACGCACACTCTTAGTAAACCAAAAATTAATATTTACGAAAACAAGAACAAAATTAATGCCAGTTTCACCTGGTTACACTCATAGAAAAAAATTCACAAAATATATTTAAAAATTTGGTACGCCTAAAATAATAAAAAAAAAACAGTTATGGAAGGCTTAAAGGATAATCTTAAGACAAGGGAAATATTTATTAAAATTCTAAAGGCATTTTACTAAAAAAAAAAAAACTAGAGAAAGAAAATCGTCGGCTGTATGCTTATCGGCTCCATACGCCACTTTTGCATTTTTTGACTTATGAGTGCATCTATAGGTTTTAAGTGATGCTCTTTCTGTCTGTCTAATCCGTTTTTCTCTATCTCGATCTGCTGCTGAGATACAGAGTGTCAGGTTTGCTCCATAGACTGCATTTTTACGAATTTCTAATGCTTATGTGCCCCATGAACCATTTTTTGGTTGTTGCGGCACAATTTGTATGGAAAAATGAGAACATTTTTACGTTTTTCTTGTGTGCTCTATTTACATAGTACTGCGTGATAGAGCATTAAAATTCAAAATTATAAAAAATTTTATTTTGCTGCATAGACATTGGAAAAAAACATCACAATACAACAAACATACAAAAAATAGCAACACACATACTGTTGAAGAAACAAAAGAAATGGAAAGGCATACACATGAAAAAAACTTAGCAACAAAGGATAAAGACGTAGATCGAAGCAACATAGATCCAAATCATTGCATCATATGCTATGATTTGCAAAATGTTTTTGCCTTACCAAAAGGATATGCGTCTGCATTTTTTTACAAAAGAAAGTTAAATGTTTTTAATTTAACTGGCACTGCGATGATTCCAAATAAAGAAAAGTAAAAATAAAATTAATGCAACATGTATAAAGTATTTTATAAATTCATCTTTAAATATCAAAGAAATTTTACATAAATATTCTGAACCAGGGCATTCCGAAATTCAGGAGGTTGACTGTGTTCATTCAGTTATTGAAAAGTACTTGAAAAATTTGGAGATACATAGCCCTCTGCACTTAATAAAATTATTAAAAAACATGGAAATGCCTAAAGTCAAGCTCGATGTAATTCAAATGTTAGATACCGACTTTAAAAACTACTCAGCAATGGCATCCCAATTAAATTACTCGGCTATACAATTTACAAAAGCAAAATATATATTCTACGAAAGCAATCAACCATTTAATTTAAAATATAAAACTTCTTTCTCAGACCTAGAATTCAAGGTGATTTCCATTTATAAAAAAAGGACAAAAAATTGAAAAATTTATATTACTAAATTAAATTAAAACAAAAAAAACAAATGTATTAACGTTCTGTTATAGTATAGTATTTAGAAATGTATAAAGCTAAGAGGCTGTTATTTTTTTTTTTAAGTAATTAATTTTTATTTTAAAATGATTTACTGTTAGATTATAGGAATTTCAATATTTTATATTATAGCATTTAAAAATGAAACAAAGTACAATAATTAATTCCTAAAACTTAAGCTACGAAAAGGCTGTTAATTTTTTGTAAGAAGTTATTAATTTTTTATTTTGAAAACAATTCCTGTATAGATTATAAGAAGAATTTAAATATTTTTATATTATAGTATTTAAAATATAAACAAAGTATAATAAATCATTTTGTAAATGCAGAGGCTAATAGTTTTGTTTGAGTTGTTATACTTTTTTTCATCATGGTAGTATACTCTTATTATTTTTGTTATGAAATTTTCGGAATTTAATAATTTCAATAAAAATTTTTAAAAACATTACTTAAATAACTTGTTTTACTTGATATATTTCAGTACTAAATGCTTAATTTTTTTTTTTTAATATTTAATAATAAATTTGTTGTTGTTTTGCATGTTAATTTAATTTCTTTTTTGCTCCACTTCATACATTCCCTTAGTTAATTTGATAATTTTTTGAAAATTTTTGTTTGCTTCATAGTAATATAGTTTTTCCCTTAAAAATATAACGCAAAGCTCCATAACAAAATAAAATTTCAAATTTGCACAAGATCATGGAATATGCAGCAAAGGCCAAAACGACTGGTCTTACAAAAGTTGCAATATTTCAAGAACCGTAAGAGTCCGCAAACTGAAATTTTAAATTAAAACTAAAAATAAAAGTACTATTTCGTATATAAAATATAAAAAAATCCCAGCGCGCAGTTTTTCTTTAATTCTTTGTCAAACTTTCTTTTTCAATTTTCTCGGTTTACAGTGCTTGGCGTATGCGGCCGACAAGCATACAGCCGACGAAATGTTAAGCTTTCCTATTTCTTTTGATTTTAGTGCTTTTAGTTCTGGGTTTTTGTTCTTGTACTAAAAAATTTTCCATTATTATACAATGATAATTAGTTGAAAAAGAAAATTCAAACTATATAGTGTGTCCTAAATTTTCCATATTTTCTTATTTTTTTTTTTTTGTAATTTACTCTAACTTGAAGGTTAAATTTAATTACTTTTTAAAAACTTTTTTCTTGTTACTAAGTACTTGATTTTCGTATATAAATACCAGTATATAGGTAATATTTAATTAAAATTGAAAAGAATTAATGTATATAATGTATGTATATAACAAAATATACATAATGTATACAATGTAATATTTTATGTAAATAATATTAGGTTTATGTTTTAGGTTTTATTATTATCCAAAAATCTTAAAAGAATGAAACCTAATTACTTTTAAAAAACGAGAAAAAAGAACAAGGATCTCTTGAGGATAACAACAAAAAACAAAAAAAACTAATTTTTAAATTATTTTAATTCCAAAAAAAAAATCTCTTGACAATATAAAAAATATAAAAAAAATTAGGTCTTCATCTTCTTTGTTGTTAAGTGTCAACTTTAAAGTGTTCTGATATTTTTATTTATTAAAAAAATAAAACTACTTTGTGTTCTAAGATTATCAAGCTATTTAAAATTTACGGAAATTTTGTGTAGGTTCCACTAACACCTATACTATAGTGTTTTTATGATTTCCTGTAGAATGGTTATGAGCAGGTCACTGTATAACTTTTAAATTTCGATATTAAAAAATTTTCGAATAATAATTTGATATACAAAAGCTTAAAATATTCACAATAGTTACACATTGAATAAAATTAATTCAAATTATTGTGAATTTTATTTGTTCCAAATTATGTGTTGGAACAATTAGGTACATTATCTTTTACAATACAGTATAATATAATATGTATGTACATATGTATGTATATAACAATTAAAGTATGTATATCTGCCTATAAGTGCTTTGTTCTCTATTAAACTAGCAATCCAATTATCATGGAAGTTTAGTTGCTAACAAAACTTCCTAGACGATGTTAGTAATACATGTTGATCATACATGTTTATCATACAAGCTAGTCATACATGTTTATCATACTTGTTAGTATTACATATTGATTGTGCAAGTTAGTCATGCTGATTACTTGTATTGATTAATCATCTCAAGAGTACTCATTCATGATGATGGCCAACAACCGTGACAAAATATGAATGAGAAATCACCATAACTGCAATGTGCACGACAAACTAGTTTGAACAACTTGGTTGGTATTTGTCAATTTAGTTCTAAGCCATGGAGCAACCAGTGTTTACAACAAGTTTTATTCCATTTTTTCATGAAATTTCAAAAAAAAAAAACAAAAAAAATGGTAAAAGCCAGAATATAAAAATTTTCAATTGTAGTACCTTGCAGTTATTAATAAATTGCGTTTGGTTTAGGGAAAAAACCACTACTTAGCTGAAGTTGAAAATTTTTGGTTTTAAAATAGGTGTAGGCCTGGATAACATTTTGGAAGAAACTAATGTCCCGAAATTATTTTGCATTCTATAAAGAAGAAGAAAAAAACCAGTAAATACCAAGCAATTCTAAAAAAAGAGGTAAATGTTACATTCCGGAAGTTGCTATTCAATTCAATGGGAAATATTTTAAATTTTATAAAATTTGTGAAGTGAACGTATTTTAAAGTTAAGATTAAAATAACATTTTGTATAATATCTCTCGAGTTCTATCGAAATGTTGTTAACCTCGAATTGGATTTGCTCTACTCTTATAATGGGATCGTTCTTTATAATTAAAATGTAATTTCTATAATAATGGAAACAAAACTAAAGTTATTGTTGATAGGTCTTTTAAGAAAATTATTTCTAAAAAGTAACTTTACTATGCCCCCACTTTGTGTATTAAAATATAAAAATAAAAAAAGTATCTTAGTTTCATTCATTTACAAGTTATTCTTATAATATGCATCTAGTATTTCCAACGGTGATAATAATGAGTTTTATGTTGACAATTTAAAGTACCATTTCATACCTCAGATATGATGTTTCGCTACTTAAACACATATTCTCATTAAAATTATAAGAGAAAAAAAAATAATGCAAACTATGTATGTAAAATTTTACAATCGTCAAGTGTTTTCGTCCTTAAAGGTGTACTGTGTAATAATAATTTAAAATTAGGTCTATGATTGAAATAACCACAGCTAGTTGTATACACCGATAATAACAACAATAATAGTAATTATTATGTAAAATAATGTTATTTTTATTTGAACCCATAAAATAGAGAAAAGAAATTTTATCTTTTCAGTTTAATTTTAATTGTGTATTAGAAATCACATTAACCTAAAAAATTAAACAGACAGAATATCCTTAAATTTGTTATAAAATTTAATATAAAAATTTTATAACAAAAGTTTTTGTAACTATAGCTATACAAAGTGTGATCTTTGTGCAATGTAGAGAATATTTATGTTCCAAGCTATAAACATGTGGAAATTGAGTTTTTAAACATTGAAAAGACTGAAATTTTCAAGAAATTTAAGAGTTCATATCGCATAAGGCACTATAGTAGTATAATATAACATGACTATCATAGATTTCTAATTGTCACTAAGCTTTCAGAGCATTAGAGATCCACTTAGAAGCAGTGTACAAAATACAGAAAAAAAATTCTCAAATATTAAAATTTAATGGTTATATTTTATAAAACTGATATTATAACTACTAATTCAATTAATATGTCTTTGATATACAGAAAGTACATACGATATATCTTGCAATATATCATAGCATAAAACTCCCTGTTTTTAGTAATTGAACTTTCTAAATGTGCAATATTTATCATTAATTCCAAATCTAGTAGATAACTGCTATTTAAAATTAGTGTGCCAATTATTTTTAACACACACTGTACTATTTCATGTATAATATTATACTGATGATATAACAAATTTTATCACTATATAAGTTTCTCTAATATTGTTATATTATATATACATAATATTATATTCAAATTTACATCAGGCTCTCATTTTTTTTTGGAAATTAATTATGATAAATGTTTTTTCCTGATTTTTGACTGTTAGGTTGTAGGTGATCCTATGTGGTTGGCTGCTATAAATTGTTGGAAATTCCAGGTATCAAAACTACATTCACTACGCTCTCTTGAACTCGAGAAGTGGATTTTTGCTTTACAGGGAGGAAGAAAATATGGACAAAATAGCCACATTTGACTAGAAAATTAAATTTCAACAATATTGTCAACAACTACGAGGAATATCTTTGTGTTAAACGGAACAAATCTGAGCCAATTTCATATATTAATAGTATTCAAAATATATCTTAAGTGCCATGTTAGAGTAGGTTAATTTTTATTATAATAAAAGAAGCAATTTTAATTGAAAAGATTTTTATCTAACACTAATTTTGAAAATTTCATAGATTTATTGGCAAAAAGTTTAACAAGTTTTTAACACAAACAACTTCTTGTATGAACAAAATATATGTACATTTTGTCTTGTTTTTTGGGGTTAATTAGTTTTTTTTTAACAATATTCTCA